GATGCGAATGCAGAACGTGAGTAAGGAACTCAGGGAACTGGGGGACGCAGATGCGCCACAGTCCATGAACGCGGATGTGCAGGTAAGGCTCTACGTAGCGAAAGGTAGATTGGCGATGACAGAACTCGATCTGCAGAGCTTCTCCTGGTTGGCTTGCTGCGGCTTCGTAGGGAACTCGAAAAGCAGGACACTTCGAGTACGCTTGCGGCCAATGGCGCCCGTCAGGGGGACCAGCGGGTGCCTTCGTTGTAAGTGTAGGAGGTTCCGGCTCTGGGTTGGGTTCCTGCGGCGCAGGGGAAGGCGCAGACTGCGTGCTGTGTCGTCGAGGGCGGCGCGGACGAATTCCAGCGAGCTCGCGATAGTTGGGAGGCGGACCGCGAGAGCGGGAAGCCGCACTCGCTTCTCCTGTTGCGAGCATCAGCGGTGCCGATGGTGTGTCGTGCAAGCAGGTGTTAGAGAGGCCGGGACGGCGAGACAAGGCGTCGGCAACTTGATTGCGCGCTCCCTGAACATACGTGATGTGCAAACCCGGGAACTCTGCAAGGACGTCTAGCCACCGGGCGGTGCGTCCGCGCAGAGGCTTCGATGCTTGGAGTAGTTGGAGATGGGTGAGAGCTTGATGATCAGTGAAAGCCGTCACCTTGGAGACACGGAGCAAGTGCGACCACTTGTGCAGCGCCGTGACCAGCGCCAAGAGTTCCTGATCGTAGATCGAGTATCTCTGTTGCGTGGGCTTCATGACTTGACTGAGGAAACCGATGGGTTTACCGTCTTGTTCAAGAACTCCTCCGACTGCGTAACCAGAGGCATCTGTGTATAACTCGAAGGGCTTCGTCGTGTCAGGGACCTGTAAGGTAGTGAAGTCGATTAAGCGCTGTTTGAGCTGCCGCACCGTTTGCGTGTGAAGCTCTGTCCATTTGAAACTGACGTCTTTACGCGTAACATCAACCAGCGGCCGAGCAACGTCTGCACAGTCCGGTCCCATGAACATGCGACAGTAATTTATTGTAGCGAGGAACTGGCGCACTTGCGTTTCGTTCTCCAGCACCTCTGGCCAGTGCCGTATGGCTTCGATTTTATCTTCTGCAGGTTTAATCCCAGCAGCAGAAATGGTATAACCCAAATATGTAATCGTTTGCCTTGCAAACTTGCATTTGCGGAATTTTGGGTAGAACTGGTGTCTAAGAAAAATGTTGAGGACTTGTCGCAGGAGAGAAACGTGCCCAGAGAGATCGGAACTATAGATAAGTACACCATCTAGGTACGCAATAACGCCCTGTCCCAATAAAGGTTTGTAGTAACGTAGCGGGAGCACCCTTAAGGCCACAGGGCATCACTCGGTACTCGAATAGTCCGAGAACGGACCGGAAAGCCGTCTTCCACCGGTCTTCCTTAGCTATACGTATTTGATGGAATCCTGCTTCAAAATCCAAGGTGGAAAAATACTTGGCGCCTCCGAGCAGCTCCACAATGGTTTGAATGGGAGGTAGTGGAAAATCAGGGGCTATCGTAAGGGCATTTAAAGCTTGGTAATTGACAACCAAACGCATCTTCCGCTCCCCGGAGCCATCATCGCGTTTGTCCACCATGATCGTAGGAGAGCAAATAGGCGAATAGGTCGGTCCGATCCAAACATTGTCCGATAATTTGGCTATCTCCTGTTTGTGGAAAGTGAGCTGATCTGGGGTCATACGGTAGATTGCAGATCTCGCTGGAAGTTTCCCAGGCGCCAGAAGAATATGATGATCATGAGGGCGCTTCGAAGGTAAACCTTTAGGTAAGGTATCGGGAAAAACCGCCCGATACTCGTGCAGCACCTGAGCAACCTCACATGGAATATCCTGCGCCTCAGTTGAATTGATCCATTCGTCGAATAGAGTGTGCTCGAGTTTTGCCATAGGCCAGGGAGACTCCTCATCACTCCCCGCTGTCACCGAGGCGGTTGAGGCCAAAGCTGATTCGCAGCCGGAGGACGTGGGCTGACTCCCTATCAACGCACAATAAAGCGCGCCTTGCGATTCATCCGAGAGCCTTAAGGGCACTGCCGAACAGGCTTCGGGCAAAGCCAGTATGAGATGCAAGCCGTGCAATGGAGCCCTGAGATCCTTGTTGACCACCGCCGCCTGACGAAGGGAGAGCAAATAGGCGAATAGGTCGGTCCGATCCAAACATTGTCCGATAATTTGGCTATCTCCTGTTTGTGGAAAGTGAGCTGATCTGGGGTCATACGGTAGATTGCAGATCTCGCTGGAAGTTTCCCAGGCGCCAGAAGAATATGATGATCATGAGGGCGCTTCGAAGGTAAACCTTTAGGTAAGGTATCGGGAAAAACCGCCCGATACTCGTGCAGCACCTGAGCAACCTCACATGGAATATCCTGCGCCTCAGTTGAATTGATCCATTCGTCGAATAGAGTGTGCTCGAGTTTTGCCATAGGCCAGGGAGACTCCTCATCACTCCCCGCTGTCACCGAGGCGGTTGAGGCCAAAGGACTAAGGCAGCCGGAGGACGTGGGCTGACTCCCTATCAACGCACAATAAAGCGCGCCTTGCCATTCATCCGAGAGCCTTAAGGGCACTGCCGAACAGGCTTCGGGCAAAGCCAGTATGAGATGCAAGCCGTGCAATGGAGCCCTGAGATCCTTGTTGACCACCGCCGCCTGACGAACGAGCGACGTTATCCGCACCTTGGCCTTAGTCTTCGCGTGGGACTTGTACCTCTTTGGCGGCGGGCGTATGAATACAGCTGCCTCCTCGGCTGACATACCCGCCACTT